ATCAGGACACTTTAGCATTCTACAACATGTATGGACATTTTCTTCTGTGTGTGCTTTATATTCTTCATGTGTTTTAACTGTTGATTCTCTGACCTGTGTTGGTGATTTCAATGGTTTTGTTAAGTCTCTGAGATGACTTCTGTTGTGACCTAGGGCTATACAAGAATACATTGTATTGTAGTGTAATTGTATTAAAATAGGACCAGTATAATCATCTTTTAACACACTCCCTTTGTTACTTTATCTGTATCTATGAGTGGTTTATTCTCGTGTCAATTTCTTTTCCAATTTTCGTTTATTCTTGAAATGTGAGTCCCTCTTTCGGTCACCTGTAGCTGACACTCGTTGACAATTAAAGCCCCTTTTTGAAGGTGCTGGTCCTGGACAGAGCCTAAGCCGAGTCCGCTTGGTTTTCCACCAGAAAAGTGACCACGGTTACCATAGCAACGCATTGTTTGCTGTCAGCAGTTAGCAGTTAGCCAACAAACAAACTATTTTTGCAGTATATTTCAAGATATAATCACCAGTTTTAGATTTTTAAACTTTATAAAACGTGAGTAAAGGTAAAAAACATTATAATTGACTTGATGAAACTGGTCAAAGACATTTTTGGGAGGATTTTTCAGAATTCTATTGGTTTGACTGGAAGCAGTAATAATTTAGAGAATCCTTGAGCTGCTTCTTTGTCAGTACCAATACAACAGAGTGAGAGCTCTGTTCAACCTTCACAACGACTGCTGTGCTTAAAATAGAACGAGGGATTCAGAATTAAGAACCGCATTTTCCAGTTGTGCAGCTCCAACAAGCTTCCTGCTGAAACAAGGATTTCAAACGTCCGGAACGACATAGACTAACAGTTCCTCAGTAATAACTGATGTTGGTCTAGAATCCATCTTTGAGTCGTCTTTATTCTAATGCTGGTACATTACTATAACAAGGTTGATTAAAGAAATAGGATACAGCCAAAAGTGGGCTGCGGACAGTTTGCGAAACACGAGAGCAGACCTCCGTTTGTTTTTACATATTAAAGATCACTGGGCTTATTTTCAGATGCAGGTTTAAGTGCATCAGAACTGACTAAGTTCTGGTTCAGTCCAAACACACGGTGTACATCAGAATCATCCTTTTGTTTAAACCCTTGAAAACGTAAAAGCCACAGATGCAAAGAGCTTCAAACACTTTTCATAATTCTGGCCCCGACATGAGACAGACCTGCTTTATGCTTTATGTTAAACAGCTCCAAGATCAGACTTCACACACAATTGCACGATACAAATTACGTCTTGAGTTATTCACATTCCACAGATGTCTGACGTCAGCACGAAGTCAGTCCCAAACGCCAAGGCTTACGACGCCGCAGTGTCCGTCACAAAGACACTTTCTATAAACGGGATGTGAGAAACTAGTCACAGCTTCTCAACATTTGAACTGGAAACTGCTGGGACCAGACTCACTCGCACAAGTTTTAGTGTCTGTACCAGTGGGGGTAAAGCTGCAATCTCACTCTGGGCCGGTGGGGGTGTACCCGGAAAGAGAATTACCCAACGCTTTTGTATGGTGTCTTCTTTTCCTGCTTTTGGCCCAACACTATGTTCCAGATGTGTGTCAATGCTGAGGGGAGTATTTTTTTGGAGTGAGATTGCAGCATGTCAGGGCATGTGCTTATGGACCTTTGGAGCCGGGACCCGCCCCCACTGGTCAGTACAGACAATGTAATCAACAGAAACAAACTAAATTTCTAATTTGTGTAGCACAACAAGGTATTTTAGTTTTTTTCAACCCACTATGGCTAGAAGAGACAAAGATATCAGTTTGGTAGATAGTTACAACGCCATTCTCAAGAAAAATCGAGGATCCACTAAAAAGGCTGGCATCACTGCAGGCGCCGGTCTGAAAACACGACCCACAACTGGTATCTACCTTAGGGTTTTCGGCTCTGGCGGGTGAATCACTTTGAGTTACATTATGACTATGAAATGTGAATAAAGATTGATTGTACTTCACACTGTACAGTACAGTAGCAGCTGGTAGCTCCTCTCTGTATAATCCTCTTGATGGCTCTATTATCCCAGTCCAAGCGTCCGCTCCGGGGTTAACCTCAGCTTGGGAGACCCCCTGTGAACTATCACCCCTTGAGCCGAGCGGAGGCACTAAATCTGCAGAGCTAAAAACACACACAGCAGCAGGTGAGGGGCGTCCGGGCGCAATCCTCTTTAACATCCAGCTTTGCACATAATCCACACCGAGAAACAAGAGAAAACATCTCTGAGTCCCACAACACGACAAGAGGATGTGACCGAGACGATGACTCACTAATAAAGAGAGGTCCACGCACTTCCTCCTGATAACTTCCTCACAGTTGCAGTCAACTTTGTGTGTTTCATTCCACGACTTATATAGTTGTCAGTTACGCACCCTTCATTATCAGTTTTTAGACAATACTCGTCTCAGTCTAATAGTACTTTTGTACAATCTATATAACCCAGAAGAGCAATGTCGTAGAAATGAGACCGAGGCAGCAGTAAAAAGTTTTATCCTGACCATTATGTGTCCTACATTTGTCCCATGTTCGCCCATTTGTTGAGGCTTCTGTCAAATTGTTAACACTAGAACTCCCAGAGCAGTCAATTTGACGGCTTTAAGTTTTTGGAAGAATAATTACTCACCTTATGTACATTTGTGCTCTTCATGACTTTTCTCCTGTATGTAATAGCACAGTATAGTATTATCGTACTCAGTGAATGTCTCAGACAGTGGCGAGATGAGGAGGTGCGGGAGGAGGCCCATCATGGGAGGACAAGCCCCTACATGAGGAGGTGCTGGAGGAGGCCCATCATGGGAGGACAAGCCCCTACATGAGGAGGTGCTGGAGGAGGCCCATCATGGGAGGACAAGCCCCTACATGAGGAGGTGCTGGAGGAGGCCCATCATGGGAGGACAAGCCCCTACATGAGGAGGTGCTGGAGGAGGCCCATCATGGGAGGACAAGCCCCTACATGAGGAGGTGCTGGAGGAGGCCCATCATGGGAGGACAAGCCCCTATAAGGCATTTACCACCGGAGCATAACAGAAGTGGCTGATCTCAAGTCCTACCAATGGCTAGAAAGGGCACTCATCATGGCTGCACAGGAGCAGGCCCTGAGCACCAGAGCAATAGAGGCCCAGATATACCACACCAGAGGAGACCCATGGTACAGATATACCACACCAGAGGAGACCCATGGTACAGATATACCACACCAGAGGAAACCCAAGGTGTCGCTTGTGCAAAGAGGCACCTGAGACGATCCAACACATAACTGCAGGGTTCAAGATGCTGGCAGGGAAGGCCTACATGGAACGCCATAATCAAGTGGCTGGCATAGTGTACAGAAGCATCTGTGGAGAGTATGGGCTGGAAACCCCAAGGTCTAAGTGGGAAACTCCTCCAAAGGTGGTGGAGAATGAGCGTGCGAAGATCCTGTGGGACTTCCAGATACAGACCGACCGAATGGTAATGGTGAACCAACCTGACATCGTGGTGGTGGACAAAGGGCAGAGGACAGCCGTGGTGGTGGACGTGGCAATTCCAAGCGATGGTAACATCCGGAAAAAAGAACATGAAAAGCTTGAGAAATACCAAGGTCTCAGAGAGGAGCTGGAGAGGGCCTGGAGGGTAAAGGTGACAGTAGTGCCCGTGGTGATCGGTGCACTCGGGGCAGTGACTCTGAAGAACAACCTCGGAAATCTCAGTCCAGAAATGTGCAGAGCAGGAACAGCAAAGATACAGAACCATCAAGCTCCCAGGACCCGAGATTAGAGAGAGAACTGCCCGCAGATGGTGAACATAGAAAATGTATACGTTTATAAGTCATTTACAAAGTAATTATGCATTATATAATTTCTAACAGTAATAATCCTGAAACATTAAAACCCAGAGCAGGGTTTTGAGTGAGTGTCGACCCAAGCTTATTAACCCCCGCCTGTCGCCGTATTGTCATTGTGTGGACGCGGCCCCTGCTCCTCACTACAGGGGACACACACGCTGCTTCACACAGAGGGGCCCTGAGCACCCCACCCCACCCTTCCCCCCCCCCTCCCTCCCTCCCAACAGAATGGCAGCACGCCTGTCCCATCTACAGCTGCACTCCGGAGAGAGCAACGACTGTACCAGACAAAACGCCAGACTTTTGATGGTTCCTAAAGTGTCGAAAATCAGTCGGAGACAGAGAGCTACCAAGCTTCTGTACTGGGGAACTAGCTCCCCATCCACCAAGGACTTTCAAGGCTAGGCTTTAAACAGTCCTCTTTAATTTAGCATATGGTTAGCTAGGTAAGACTCAGGTAAGATTTAGAAATACAACCTTAAGTCTAAAAACACAGATTGTCAGTGACGGTGCATATGGAGACACTGCTGGAGGAAGTGTGAAACAGCTCTGTCCTCTTCCTACTTTATCTATCATCATTACTCAGCTGTAGTCTGTTCATTGCTATTCACCCGCAGTTCCATTGTCTGTTTCATGATGTGAAGATGGGACCTCTGAACCCGGCCCCCTCCGTTGGCACCTGTGGACTGTCTTCTCCACTCCCCCCTCCCCGCCTGCCTTGCATGGCCTTGGTCCTCGTTCTACAGCCTGAGTCCTGGATCTACAGCCCGCCCGTCTGTGGGAGCGGATTTATCTCCATGTGGGCCTCCCGGAGATTTTTCCTTTTCTCCCACTGGGTTTATAGAGTTTTTCCTCTCTGATGCAGCAGGACATGAGACATTTATGAACAGTGATCTCTGTTCCTTTTGGACCAATGGCCCTGAGTGTGTTCATTGTTGCATTTCTTGTGTTTGAACTGTTTGGTCTGTGCTGGCGAATTGACGATTAATAAAGTCGTCCGAGAATAATACATTTGTGATTTAGAGCAATACAAAAATAAACTGAACTGAATGTACAAGAGAGTCACCCTGCCACCTGTGTGTGTATGTGTGTGTGTGTGCATGTGTGTGCGTGTGCGTGTGTGTGTGTCCTTACCGGGAGTCTTCCCGTGGAGCAGCGGTTGGGTTTGCCGTGCGGGCCGTGGGGGGTGGAGTAGAGGCTGTGTGCCCTGAGCTCAGCGGCGCTGGTGTTGCAGATCTGGGTGAAGTATCCGGCAGGTACCGGACTGGCCAGACTCACCGTGGCGCCCGGAGTGCTGGCCTTGGCAGTCTTGTGGTGTGAGCCCGGCAGAGAGGGGGGCATGAGGCCACAAGGGCCGGGAGACAGGCCCTTAGGCAGACGCATCATGGTGGGGGGCCGGTGCGAGGCAGGCCCGTTCATTGCAGCTGGAACCAAAGAGATTCAAATCAAATGAAGATGGTTCATTTACTACTACATCAAACTGATGTGTTTCAGTGATTCATGCACCGTTGCTTCTGGCTCCTCCCACTTTTATTTTTGAAATGGGAGAAGTCATTTTGACAGCTCCATTCATTTGAATGTAGAATTCAAAAGTAGCCATTTTCCAAAATTCTATGGCAGTAGAATGCTGGTTACCATAGAAACACATAGTTTACCGTCAGCAGCTAGCATTAGCCTTTTCAACAATCTCTGCTGTATTTCAGTTGTTTTCACTAGTTTCAGAACTTATTAAAAGTGAGTAAACGTAAAACTTTTTTTTTAAACGGGTAGAAAACTAACATGTTGGGAATCTTTCAGAATAGGAGCAGTCATAAGGACGGCTCTGAGAGTAAAGTGCTATTCATGTCAAGGAGTACTTTGTGTTAGCGGCAGACGGCCGCGGTAAATGACACAGAGGGCCACATTTGGCCCGTGGGCCTGAGTTTGCACATACCTGCTGTATACACAACATTAGACTGTTATTACAGTCTCAGGACACAATGGAGACGGTTAAGATAAGATACTTTTTTGATCTCACACTGGAGAAATATACAACAACAGGGGCTGCAGACTATATGACCTTATGGCTCATGTATTTACAAAGACAATATCACAGGAATGACAGGATCACAGAGAGCGGAGTGTGACATCAATGGTTTCTTACTGAGCTAGAGCAGATTACTTTTACAACTCTATAGGAGCCAGAGAGAGTGGGAGCAAAACTTCACCATGAGCACTTCCCTCTGGGCTTCCTTGAGCGATATAAACAACAGATAAAGAGACGAAAGAGCGATGTTTGTGCCTCGTCGGGTCCTTGTTGACAGATGCGACCGGACAAAGCTCCAGCAACTGAACCAACAACTCACCGCTCACAGCCCGACTCCCGCTGCTGCTCCTCCCGGTGTGAGAGCCTCTGGTCCCCGGTGTGAGAGCCTCTGGTCCCCGGTGTGAGAGCCTCTGGTCCCCGGTGTGAGAGCCTCTGGTCCCCGGTGCAAGTGCCTCTGGTCCCCGGTGTGAGACCCTTAGTCCCCCGTGTAAGGACCTCCAGTCCCCGGTGCAAGAGCCTCTAGTCCCCGGTGTGTGAGAGCCTCCAGTCCCGTGTGGCAGATCGCGGAGCAGTCGTGTCCTTTGTCCTGGTCTGGAGCGTGTAGACCCGGGTCGCACTTCCCTGTCCCCTTGGTCCTCTCACGCACGCGCACGCACCGTCACACGCACGGGGAAACGGGGGTTTGTCGTTTTTTGCCGCGAAAAGTGCGTCCCCGCGAAATTCAGAGTCCCGCGGTCCGCCCGTGCTGATTGGTCCGCTCGCACAGACGGCTTCTGATTGGCCCACGGCTCGTGCGCTTCGGATGAGGCCGGTGCATGCGCTGAGCCGGAGCTGCACTCTCAGGACCGCGCCGCCATGATCCATGTCTTTGTTGGTGACGGGTGCTATAAGCCGAAGGCAAGGCAAGTTTATTTGTATGGCACAGTTGATACAAAAGGCAACTCAAAGGCATTTTGGTGTATCAGCCCCATTCACCAGGGACACTCTCATTCTCACTCTGTGTCCACCGGGTCCCAGCAGACAGACAAGCATCACATGATCTGTCTTTCTCTCTCTTTCTGGCCTCTCTCTCTCTGGTCTCTCTCTGTTCTCTCTCTCTGGTCTCCCTCTGGTCTCTCTCTCTGGTCTCTCTCTGAACTCTCTCTCTGGTCTCCCTCTCTGGTCTCTCTCTTTCTGACCTCTCCCTCTCTGGTCTCTCTCTTTCTGACCTCTCTCTCTCTGGTCTCTCTCTTTCTGACCTCTCTCTCTCTCTGGTCTCTCTCTTTCTGACCTCTCTCTCTCTCTGGTCTCTCTCTTTCTGACCTCTCTCTCTCTGGTCTCTCTCTTTCTGACCTCTCTCTCTCTGCTCTCTCTCTGGTCTCTCTCTTTCTGACCTCTCTCTCTCTGGTCTCTCTCTTTCTGACCTCTCTCTCTCTCTGGTCTCTCTCTTTCTGACCTCTCTCTCTCTCTGGTCTCTCTCTTTCTGACCTCTCTCTCTCTGGTCTCTCTCTTTCTGACCTCTCTCTCTCTGCTCTCTCTCTGGTCTCTCTCTTTCTGACCTCTCTCTCTCTGGTCTCTCTCTTTCTGACCTCTCTCTCTCTGCTCTCTCTCTGGTCTCTCTCATTCTGACCTATCTCTCTCTCTGGTCTCTCTCTCTGGTCTCTCTCATTCTGACCTCTTTCGCTCTGATACTCAACCACCATAGAGAGTTTCAATGAACAGCAATCTTCAACATGGTTTGAGTCAATAGCTTTCCAGTTCAAGCCTGTAAAGTTGGTCCATATTGATCTGAACTATATATTATAAAAACCCTCAAATCACAGTTTAAATCATAAGACTTTCTAACAATGTTTAATGTGTTGCCTCAGTGCATGATTGGATGATGCACAGAGGCAATGATTTGACCCACTGGACAATGGACAAGAGTTGGGGCGTGGGAGTGCGGCCCCCAGAGTGCAGCTCCGATTTGCACTCTTGCTCGTATCAATTGTGTTGTTCTTAAATAGACAGACGCCATGACACTTGTGGCCTTTGCAGCAGGAGGAGGCTTCTTTTCGATCACAGACAAAAGAGGAAGGATCAGACTCTGGATGAAGCTCTGGGTTATTACACAGGGTTGTAGAAGGTTTTAACAATCTGCAGCCGTTGAGCATCTTGCTGCGGTAGAGTATAGTGCTGGTAGAGTATAGTGCTGGTATCCAAGATGGAGTCTCCACAAAAGCCTGAAGCTCACAGCAAAAGTTTAATTAAAGTATTCATACGTGCAACCTATGTGTCTCTGGTCACTCTCTGATCTCTTTCTCTCTGCTCTCTATCTCTTTGGTCACTCTCTCTCTGGTCTCTCTCTTGTCTCTCTCTCTGGTCTCTCTCTTGTCCCTCTCTCTGGTCCCTCTCTCTGGTCCCTCTCTGATCTCTCTCTGGTCTCTCTCTCTGGTCTCTCTCTCTGGTCTCTCTCTTGTCTCTCTCTGGTCTCTCTCTCTGGTCTCTCTCTCTGGTCTCTCTCTCTGGTCTCTCTCTCTGATCTCTCTCTGGTCTCTCTCTCTGGTCTCTCTCTCTGATCTCTCGCTGGTCTCTATCTCTGGTTTCTCTCACACTATGGTCTCTCTAAATAAAAACCCATTTATTGCATAATTTTGCCATTTTAGCATCTGAAAACATAACAATTACAGGCTCAAGTTACAATTTTTTTGAAAAAATCTGTGAAGCAACTCGCAGCTCTTCTGGAAATGTTTATAGAATTTGCAATATGAATAAAGCAGATGAGACTAGAAACTTTCCATGCGAATAAATGGGAAATTAAGGGAATTAACAGTAATAAAGTTCAGGAAAGAACTTTTATGATTTCATTAAGAATAATTCATCACACAAAAATAACCTTTCTGCATGGGATGAATTGGTTTGCCCTGTGGATGGGTTAACGACCGGATGTTGTTTAAACATCTCTAATTCAGCCATTACTCAATAATATACTAATAATCCATGTGAAAAAGGTCCATGTCATTCCTCACATACACAGAGCACACTACTTACTGCAGGGCTATTGAGACACGCCCCCTGCTGGCCCTATGCCTCCATCACATGTACAGGAGACTTCTAAAAAACACAACCACACTTTTGAGCCCAAAGCACAAGACCATTGAAGGCACACATTTGAGCCTGTGGATAACACAAAGTGAAGTTTTAATTATTAATTGGAAAAAATAAAATAAAAACATATCCATCTAGAGGAGGTGCTCGATACAGACCAAACAGGTTTCTGGTGGTTTGAATTCTTGGGATGGTTTGGCTGCTGCAGTTCTGGTTGTCAGAGGAGAAGCAGGTAAGTAAAAGCTCTTGGATTCAAACTTTCCAACAACATTTCACTGCGAAGGGACCAGCCCACACAGAACACAGGGTCTAAAAGAGTTCATATGCTTACGAGGGAAATGTCTTCATTTCATTTAACTTAAGACTAAGGTGAGAGGGAGAGACACATGTAAAGAAACAAAAGACTGAGACAAAAATGAATGAAGATGTGACCTGACGCTGTAACCAATCAACAACCAGCGTACACGCCCACACCCAGGAATTAAGTAGTAGTTAGTAGTACTTTAAAAAGGACATATCATGAAAAATCCACTTTTTCTGCCTTAAATGCCTTATGTTGTGTAGTTGGAGCCTCTAGAAGTGCAAAAAAGTTGAAATCAGTCTCTTCATGGGTTGCAGAGAACACTTCATATTCTGTTTGGGTAAGATTTTTCAACCCATTCTGATTTTGCATCCTCTATTACGTGTTTAGAATTATTACGTCACAGTATTTGCAGCGAGACTGCTATATAAGGGCATGGGCGTCTAACAAAACACTTCGGCCCAGCCCTCCTCTACTGTGCATCACTTCGAATTTGTAGTCCAAGCTCAAGGATGCCAGCGAACAGGGCTGGACTGGCCACCGGGCGTACCGGGCAATGCCCAAAGGGCCGATGCCCATATTTGGGCCGATCTGTCTGCCTCATACAAAACACATATTTATGAGAAGTGTAAATCCGTTGAGAATTGTTCGAGCGGGGGACGCGTATCCGCGGGGCACCTGCTCTACTAGAACGGGATTCCGCCACCTCAGCGGCCGCAGTGTTCCGGGGCTTCCAGCCGCTCCACCGTGTTGTGGCTGAGCGCGCAGCCTCAACGTGGCCATGTACCCAACCCCATAAACGCGCACAGGACCATGCGTGTCTTTGAGTAATCTGTGCACCATAAATACACTGCTGCAGGAAACAGTCCGCGTCTCCCCTCTCCTCTCGAAGTGCGATTAAACGCCCTACAGTGTATATAAAGCTCTGATACCTACATTTTGCATTGCATAAAAGTTCATGTTTGAGCCCAAAAGTAATATGTTGTGAACAAATTAAACAGATTTAGAGCCAGCCAATGGCTGACAATATGCATTTCAGTCTTTTTTGACCAATTCTCATCCCTGTAACAAACAATAGTGTTGTCTGTGTCCACCTCCCTCACTCTGAGACATGTTTATTACTCTCTTGTAATGCAGACTATTGCATTTTATTTTATTGTTGAAACTGCACATATCCTGATCCTCTACAGTATTTGCTTCCACATACTGTATAAACTAGGAGTCGGCAACCTGCGGCTCCGGAGGCGCATGCGTCTCTTTCCTTCTGTAGAAGGAAAAACGTTCTTAACGTTTTTAAATGCTGTAAAATTGTGCATAAGTAATATTCAATGTAAACATTTCTGTCAACGTAGTGTGTCATATCCTGCGACGTAGGCCCGCGCCAGGCGGCCGTTGTTGTAAACAAACCCGGGTGTGAGCATCATAGACTGTGCGCATGGATCCCAAAGCTAAAAAGAGAAGAGTCGATTATAAGACTGGACTAAGAATGAAACTTAACATTTGCTTTCAGTCAATGAGGAAGGACTGCTTCATGTTTGCGATGTAATGAGAAGTTTCTATGAGATAATTGTATCTGTGCTTAGTAACTACAAAAATTGTCGCTCGGGGTGGAGTTGAACCTGTGTCACCTGGATGGGGGCGTGGTCAAAAGCGCCTCATTTGCATTTAAAGAGACAGCACCAAAACAGGTTGCTCTCAGACGCACCTCAGAACAGGTGTAGAAGAAAGGCCCGTGGAGCTACAAATAATGAGACTCAGACCCAGGCATTGCAGTTACGCTTTATAAAGGCCACAAATTAATGATTTAGATGTAAAAATCAATTATTTGAAAGCACGATATGTCCACTTTAATTATTAGGTTTGGACGACAACAGAGCCTTGGGGATATCCTGCAACCGTTGTATTTGGATCAGCTCGACCTTAGCGGCCAATCAGAAACGTGTTTACCGTCTTTGTTTACATGGTGTCAAATCACCTTAACTGGCTTCTCTTGAGGTGGAGGAGCAGTGGCTCTACTCAGAGCTCCTCCTGTGTGACTGAGCTTCTCTATTTCTAAGGGAGCTCCCCTTTCCAGGGGAATCTCATGTGGACCACTTTCTCTCGTCCTTTCAGACATTACCCAATTCTAATGACCACAGGGAAGGTCCAACATGCACTTGAAACAGGTCTAACTTACTGCCGGCGATACAAACACAGCTCTGACTCCTGTCATACAGCGACCAGATGGCCCTCAGCAGAGGACCCCCAACCCTGTAGTCCAGGAGAGCACCCCGGGGAACCTATGTGGATAGGTTGATACTTCCATGATCCATGTGAAGGTCAGATAACACTACAACAAAGTCGATCATCGATCTCCAGCCTCGGGTGTGCTGGAGTTTCTACCCCATGGACAGCCACCTTAACGTGGTTAAAGATGATGCTAGGAGCTACTGCATGTTGCCTGGGGCTCTATGCCCCTGATCTCCTGTGAAAAACACGTCCGGGTGACGAGTCAGAT